CGTGCTAGGGTTTTTTGGACCTCGGATTTAGATTCAGCTACCCCGAAAACATATAGGAAACATAGTCTGACCTCCAGACCCGAAAAAATATTTTTTTTTGTGTGGCTGTGTAATTTACATTTATTTACAATATTAGTGTACAACACGGGAAGACAGATCGCTTGGTTGGAATCTCTTAAACGTCTAAGAGTTTGTGGGTCAGCCATCCTGGTAGCCAGTGGATTTGGGTGACTAGGTGACTCGTAAGCCTGTCCGAGTACCGTCGGCTGTATTGGTTTGGGTGGTCGCCCACCGAAACAAGGCTTATGTCGTTTTGGATGGCCTGGCTTGTCACATACCAGGAAAGTCCGGATGCCCGTCAAGCAGCATGTGCCTGTACTACCCTCAGCCTGTTTAACTAGTGCTTGGAGCTGACGCATTTGGTCCATATGAACCTTTGGTCTAAGTGTACATCTAAGTAGCAGTGAGAGGTGGCGTTTTTAATAGTGTTACCATACCAAGGTATACACGATGTCGATCACAAGTCTCAAAGAAAAAGTGACGCACTAGCTGCAATTAATGGCTATGTTCCATTGCTTGGTCCTTACTGCTACAACGAAGGTTCGATCGGCAATATAAGACCTCAGGATGGCGAAATAGGGTGCAGGGAGAAGTTCATTGAGGCGGAAGACGCCTAGAGTGTGCAGTTTATGCTCGAGTCCGTGGGTGATGTGGTTGACCAGGCGATAGACTTGTTCTGGGCAGCCATGGGATTTTCTGAAGCCGAACTGGTGTTGAGGAATATGGCCTTCTACTTGTGGTAGTTCCAACAGTCGACTGAGTTAAATCCGCTCGAACACTTTCGAGAAAGTGGATAGCAGGCTGATTGGGCGGTAGGAATCGATTTGAGATAGTGGCTTGCTTGGCTTTGGGATCATGATGATCCGGGCTTCCACTGTTTTAGATAATGTTTCAGGCTTAGCATGGCGTTGAAAATTTTCACCTGCGCTAGCACTCCTTTGGGTGGAAGAGCCTTTGCCGCTCGATTGTCGATGCCATCGGGTCCAGAAGTCTTTTTTAAATTAAGCGCCTTTAACTGCAGCGTGACTTCTTGCGGCGCGGTTTGTCTGATGGGGCGCGCTGGCTGAAAGGGAGCGCGTAAGAAGTTTACAACTTCATCGCGGTGTGAAGCGTCTGGAAGTTCAAAAGGAGTGAAGGTGGCAGAGAAAGAGTAAAAGTTTGTAAAAGAAAGGAATAAGCGAAATGGAAGGGTACACTATGTATTGCTCCGGAACGCTAGCAGGATTGCACTAACTTGTTTTGGAAAAAGCGTTTTAACTTCAACAATTTTCATAATTTCCTAATGAAATTGGTCTCGTTTTATTCAGGATTAATGAGACAATATTTATATGTGTCAAAATTTATATCTTGGAAGTTGTACCGAAAAAATGGCGTCAAAATCCGAAAAACACGATAAAAATTTTAAAATATCAGTTTCTTGTGTAATAATTTTATCCTTTTTGTTTTAACTATTTAAAGACCTAACTAATTAAAACATTTAATTAATAAAAAACGTTGAAGATTTTAAAATCCGTTAAAAATTCGACTATATTCGACCTAATAAACAATTTCTACCAGGTCTCTTCAAAAGTTCCAAATCATTGTCGCACTATGTTATTAATACATATGTAACTTGTGCGATCCGTCCGAAGCAATACCACCACCACCAAGCCGAGGAGCAATAATATAAATAATAATTAATAATTAAATAATATATCCTATAGCTGTCATATAGCTGAACAATCGAAAATGACGAAACTTTCGTGTTTTTAAAGATAGAAAGTTGGAACTTACAGATTTACAGAACTTAAAAAACGTACAGATTCTATTTTTTGTAAGTTGATCCGTCGTACCTATTTTTATAACGATCGGCCGACTACAATAAAATTCTCATAACGATTTTACAGGATCATAACTGCAAGGGTATATAAACTTCGTCTCCGCCCGAAGTCAGCTTTCCTCTCTTGTTATACCCTTGCAGAGGGTATTATAATTTTGGTCAAAAGTGTGCAACGCAGTGAAGGAGACATCTCCGACCCTATAAAGTATATATATTCTTGATCAGGATCACCTCCTGAGTTGATATGAGCATGTCCGTCTGTCCGTTTGTCTGTCTGTTTTTACGCGAACTAGTCTCTCAGTTTTAAAGCTATCGTCTTGAAACTTTGCACACACCATTCTTTCCTTTGCACGCAGTATATGAGTCGGAACGACCGGAATCGGCCGACTATATCCTATAGCTGCCATATAACTGAACGATCGGAAAAGACCCAACTTTCGTTTTTTTGAAGATAGAAAGCTGGAACTTGGTACAGATTATATTTTTGGTCAGTTGATCCGACCTACCAAATTTCATAACGATCGGCCGACTATATCTTATAGCTGCCATATAACTGAACGATCAGAAATGGTTTTTGGTAGAAATACCAACTTTGGTATGTTTGAAGATAGAAGTTTGGGACATTTTTTAGATTTTGTATTGTAATAAATTGGATTATATATTCATATTCCCATAAGGATCGGCCAACTATATCCGATGTTTGCGATATATATCCGGTTTTAACTGCAAGGGTATATAAACTTCGGCTCCGCCCGAAGTTAGCTTTCCTTTCTTGTTTTTTCATGAATTCTGATAAAATTTAAACCTTATAGCTTGGATTCTGAATGGCAAATGAATAAATTGTTAAACGTTTACCAGCCCTCATTCGACACTATTTGTCAGCTTCAAATTAGATTTTAGCTGACGCATTATAATACATATGTACATATATGGACCTGGTCCCGCACTATAACTTTCTTTTTGGAAAGCGGTTTCACCCATAGTTGTGGTTTAAAGTAATTTGTTTTTTTCAAGGTTCAATATTACAAGATGATACGCTGACCGTATTATACTATTATATTCGTTACTCCTTTGCGTTTTTTAGTGTACCTATGTACTTTGCAATTTGTATTGGGAGTCGCAATATTCACTATCAGTGGGATTATCAGAGCTAAGTTCACAGCATTTACGGATTTTGAAAAATTTTTGAGAGATACATACCTTTGTACAAAGTAAAGTCCAGACATAAGGGAGCTGACCTGTTATTCAATAGAAAGAAAATGGGTCTCTCTGTCGCCACAACCTAAATGGGAGTGTCAGCTTCCAAAAGCGAATTTCCTTTTGCATCCGCCGAATAGTTTCCCCAATGTCGTTTTTGCCTGGTCTTTTTTTTATTCCAGCGACTGCACTCGCTATCGTAACCATAGTACGATCTTTTCAGTGCCAGAAGTGTATTGGAAATGTTAGCCGAGTTACTGTGATCTGGTAATGTATCCACTCATTTGTCTCAGTTTCGTAAGGTTAGCTTAGGTTAAAACTGCTTACTGGATTAATCTAGAAAACGCGACCCACTATGACCGGTGTTACGTACTTTAAGTTCTTTAAGGTCGATCAATTTAATAGCTGCTTAGCTATCACTGAATATTTTTACTTCGCCGTTTGTGAAGCTGGATATTTTAAGTTCTCCTCCTCCTTAAGATTTGAGCTGTTTGAGTGGATTTGAGTGAAGAACTGTCTTAAGAAGGAATGATGCGAGCGTTTGGCTATACTTTTGGCTATCATAATGTCATGATGACGTTTCGAGTCTAGACCAAAATTGAATTTTAATACCCTTGCAGAGGATAATATATACATATATATTCATATATAATTTTTTAATACTACTAATTAATTTAATACTACTCTAACAGAAAAGCAAAATTTTTTGGAAATTTGTTTGGAAATATTTTTAAATACTGCTCAAAATATCCCTCAGAAATAAAAATAATGAATAATGAATAAAAATCACTGTTTGGTCATTGATAATTTTCAATGACGTAAATAAAAGACGAATTTGAATTTAGTATGAACGTTATGAAAAATGTTTATTTCTGCCTGCAGATGAAGCCGGATGATCATCTGATAGACCAGCCTGACCCCGACGTGATCTAGTTAATATAATTAACTAAATTATTAACTATAATTTACTAAAAACGATAGAAACTTAAACTAAACCAAACAATCACTGTATTAATTTTTTCATAGTTAAAACTTTTCAAAAACTTTCAAAAGTTTTTGTTTATTTACGCCTCCCATGTTGCCATTCTGTGGCCTCCCTAATATAGGGGTGGCCTCCCTATATCCCAAACTTCTATCCCAAACTTCCCAAAAAAAGTCCCAAACTTCTATCTTCAAAAATACGAAATTTGATATTTCTACCAAATACTATTTCCGATCGTTTAGTTATATGGCAGCTATAAGATAAAGTCAGCCGATCCTAATGAAATTCGGAAGGTCAACTGACCAAAAATATAATCTGTACCAAGTTTCTGCTTTCTATCATCAAAAACACGAAAGTTGGGTCAATTTCAATCGTTCAGTTATAAGGCAGCTATAAGATATAGTCGGCCGATCCTTATGAAATTTGGCATGTCGTATTATTTTGCCAAACGTTTATTATTTTAGCACTCATGTAAAATTTGAACTCTCTTACTCTAAAAACACCAAAGTTATACCATTTCCGATCAATCAGTTATATGGCAGCTATAGGATATAGTCGGCCGATCCGAGCCGTTCCGACTTATATACTGCGTGCAAAGAAAAGAAGGGTGTGTGCAAAGTTTCAAGTCGATAGCTTTAAAACTGAGAGACTAGTTTGCGTAGAAACAGACAGACGGACAGACAGACGGACAGACGGACAGACGGACATGCTCATATCAACTCAGGAGGTGATCCTGATCAAGAATATATATACTTTATAGAGTCGGAGATGTCTCCTTCACTGCGTTGCACACTTTTGGACAAAATTATAATACCCTCTGTAAGGGTATAAAAAGGGGAAAAAAAGGTTAGGTTTTAAATTACATTGAATGTACATATACTTTTGTCCCAAACCCTTTATAAAAACAAAGATTCTTAGATTTTTATCATCTTATCATCTGTTTCTTTATTTCTCATATATTTCTCGTTTTCATTTGTTGTTTAAAATGTATTTTTGAGTCACTGGCTCAGTCATATATTTGTTGAAATTTGTTATATACTCGTGTTTTGCTTTTCGCGTGATCTCTCGATATTTTCACTGTTCGATCCATCGCTTTCAACAATTGTAAATGTAATTTTTATATTGAGTTATACGTTTTGTTGATTTTGTCTTCGTTTTGTTTGTAATCTCCCAGAGATTACATGTATGTATGTGTATACATAGAGTCATGCATGGTTAATATCAATATTCGATCTTAGTCTACTATTTCATACACTTTTCTTTTTGTTTCCGATCTTGTTCGCCAAATTCAGAACTCAAAATCAATTGAATAGGATACTGTCTATCAGTTTCTAAATATATATGTATATATATTTGTATCGCTTCTTCATATATATATGTATGTATATATATATATTTTCAACTACATTTGCATAGAAAAAATTATGGGGCTTCCACTTGTTTGTTTGTATTTATTTATTGCAAAACCACAAAAAACGATTGAGATTTTTGGGACATGTAATGCAATTTTGGGGTCTTTTGCAATGTGCTTGAGAATTCGTTCAATGCCATTTATGTATTACATAAACATTTAGTATATAACCTTGTATACATATATATATGCCTTTATGTATATATACATATAATTATTAATCGCTTTATTCTCGCTCGCTATCTGGCTTTCCTAATTAATTAATTATAATAAGCAAATCGCGCTGCGTTTCATAGTCAATTTTAATCCTGGTTGCTCTCAGTGTTTCACAATAATTTTTCGGCGGAACCAAATCAGAAACGAAAACTGAAAACTTAATGATCGAACACCTAAAACCACGCTTTATTTTATCGTTTATAGCTAATCGCTTTAATCGTTCAAATCGCTTTTTAATCTATGACTAAATTTTTTCGTTATGCACGCCGTCTCAATATATTCTGACTCTGACTCTTTCTAGTTGGCTAACAATTTCTAACTATCTCTTTCGCGCGGTCTCACTGCAATGCGTTGTCTGTTGTTTTTTGTTCTTTGTCTTATTTAAGGTTACTGTTTCCTGTTTACTTTTCTCAACTTCCGTTTCCGGCTAGCGGTATTGCACTCAATAATTCGTCACCTTCCTTTCAATAGTTTCAATATTTTCGTTATAGACATTAACACAATAGCTCAATTGAAATACAATAATTATATACTTTTTGTTCATTTGGTTTTATGTGCTATGTATGTATATGTATCTATGTATGTACCTATATACTAGAGCATGTAACATTTTTTATCCATGATCTCATGACTTGTATATAGTATCTTCCTCTTGACTTTTATCAGCTAGAATCTAGTTGGAATGAGGAGTTTCAGGGAGTGACTGAGAGAGAAAGTTTTTGGCACTAAATACTCTCGAGAGAGATAGATGGACAGAGGCAATTGTTTCCGGAGATTTCAAATATCCCTTGGAGCGCCAAAAAGTATGCTACGCTTTGAGCCACCTGCGATGTGAATATATATATTCTCAAATCTCTTAAAACAATTCTTTTCCCTTGTTCTCATACTGGTTTTTTGTTTCGGAAGATGAAGAATGCAATGAAACCAAAACAAACTGTAACATAAAGATCCTTCTCTGGAAGGATACCTTTCACGTCTATATACTACCTCTTAAGCATAACAAAATCATAACAAACGTTTGTAAAAACACGTAATTTATTGTACATAATGCTAGGACAAAAAAAAATGCGTTAAACTAAATTTAAAATCCATATAGTCGTAAATAAAGCCTATGCCTAAAATAGTTATATAATTTTGATGTTCATCAGATATATTTATATATTACGTGTACAATCTTTAAGTACTCTTGGTCAAGAGAACTTTTGGAGTTAGCAACAAATTGCACTACATTGGAAATACTTTGTAATATCAATTCAATATAATCCAATATAATTTGTGTATAATTTAGTTTAGCAATCGCATATTTATACATATATATGTTTATGTTTTTATATATAGGTGCGCTCTTACACCAACAAAAATCTATAAATCAAATGCACTTTATCCATTGAGCAAAACTCGGTTTTTTTATGGTTAACAGCAACCCAAAAAAAAATAGTGATTTAAAAAGTTATGTACTATGTAAGTGTAAGCTTTTTTAAATTAATGATGTATTTTTTTTCTTTTACTTTTTTTTTTTTGCATACATAGCACCTAGCATTGTATATGCTTGAAATAAATTCATGTGTTTGGTTGTGTGTTTTGGTTTAGATTTTCATCTTTCGCCTTTATCTTTAAATAAAATCTTTTTGGGATGCCCAAGATCCGGGCTAAAACACGACAAATATACATACGTTAACATGAAGTACGATTACCAATTAGGATACACATATTTTTAGCTTTAAATGAGAGACAAAATAAAAGCAAATCGCTCGCTAGGGTCAACTGAGGGGCAACTCAAATCAGCGGATGGGAACTCGCACTCGAGGACATTCTCACTTGGCTGAGGGGTGGATTACAGGAGGGCTTTCGGGGATCCACTGGCAGCTCATCTGCCGCCAAAACCCCCGCCCAGTCCCCCACTCCCCAGATGGACTGACGTCGCTGACAACTCGACACGTTGACACTGGCGGCGCTCGACGATGACCGCCGCTGGCAGCGACTATTCCATCGCGGGTCATACATTCATCGCATAATACACGGATCCCTGAGCCTGAGCCACTCCCATTCCGCCTCCGGCAGCTGCCACCGCGGCAGCAGCCGCCTGTTGCTGCTGCTGGTGTTGCTGCTGTTGCTGTTGAGCTGCTGCTGCTGCTGCTCCTCCTGTTGGCGATACCATGGCGTTGCAATCACTGTGCGACACGGCAGCTGCTCCCTCCGGCACTCCGCGCTCGCTAAACACCGGCATGCCCCCCTCTGGCCCGAACTGATAGTGTCCGGCAATCAGGCGTTGTTGCTGCTGCTGCTGTTGCTGCTGCTGCTGTTGCTGTTGCTGCTGTTGCTGTTGCGGGTGCTGCTGCTGTTGTTGCTGCTGGTGCTGGCCATAGTGGGCGGCATGGCCACGCCCACTTACCACATGGAGCTGCATGCCGGGAAGGGCGTAACCAATGGGCACACGGATCGTTTGTTGGGTGACCTAGGGAGTAGGATCAAAACGAAATATAAGTGGGTTGTCAAAGTTATCTTTTTTTAGTGAGTGCCCTGCGGTACTGAAATTGAGCGCTATTTAGTAGCATCAGAGAGCCGGTAGAATTCAAGCGAACCAATTCTGCCTATTCGATATTTGTTACAAAACTTCAGTTTTTTAGGCTTTCAAATTTTTTTGCGCGCAAAACTTTCACCGCCTTATCAGAAGGTCATGGGTTTGATTCCCAGCAGAGGAAGCTGGTCTATAAGTTTCATTTTATGTACTTTTATTAATATTTTTTACCCCCGCAGTCTCAAAGTAAAATGTTATATTCAAGAACTTGTGAAATGGGAATTAAAAAAAAATTCGATTGTTTCAAAAGTTTCATAAAATTGTTTCTTAGATTGTTTTTCATTGTTTCATAAGATGTTTCATAATATTTAAATACTTGCAAAGGGAATTATAATTTTGGTCAAAAGTGTGCAACGCAGTGAAGGAGACATCTTTAGCCCTGTAAACTATATATGTATATTCTTGGTAAGGATCACCTCCTGAGTTGACGTTTCTACGCTAACTAGTCTCGGCCAAGGATCGCTAAGGATCGGCCAAATATATCTGATTTTTTCAATACACATATATCCGGTTTTAGCTGCAGGGGTATATCAACTTCGACTGCGCCCGAAGGTAGCTTTCCTTTCTTGTTATAAACATATCGTTGTCAATCCTAGCCTAGCCTAATAAACTAATCAAAAACACAAAGGTTCGATTCCCAGCGGAGGGTAAGTGATGAAAATATGTAGTTTATAGTATATATTTCTAAAGTTATTTTATTTATTTTTATTTATTGCTAAAGTTAGTTATTTATTTGAATTTTTTTAACAATTTGTAAATAATATTCAATAACGATCTATTAACAAAAAAATTTTAAAATGCAAAAAAAAACTTTCAAAAACTTAGCAAATTTTTTTTTCTTTTTTTCTTCTGGGTAACTTCTGGTTTTGAAAAATCCTGGGTGGATCCCAAAATCAGGCCTGAAAGTCAATTCGGGGCCGCTTTTTATAGAATTCAGGACTGATTCAGGGCTGATCACCGATAAGGCTGTGTGGTGCTGGGGGGTTTTTAAAAATTTCAGTACAAAATTCAGGGCCGCTTGTTTCAGCAATATGGCCTGATTCAGGGCTGAGTCTCAACGGTGATTCATGAGTGTCTCAGGGCTGAGTGGTACTGGCGGGTGATTAATTAAAGCGTTATATTAGTGTTAGAAGAGCCACTTGAACCCGAAAAGTCCCTGAAACACCCTCCATGGTGTTTACAGACTCACAAAGAATTCCACCCTGTCTGGCAAGGATGAATGGAGCGTTAAAAAAGCGTTTCCGATTAAACCAATCGGAGATTTGAAATTAAACCTATCGGAGAAGCTGTCCATCAGATGGCGCTGTGAAAAAAACCTTTTCTGATTGTTAGAAAGAAAAAAAGCAGACTTTCTTCCAATCGAAGCCTCTCGTACTGGTTAACTTAAAAAAATAACAGCTAGACTTTCTAAAAGCAAGGATGCATCGTTTATCGAATAAAACATCTCCAGCGAAGAAGACCGAAGATAGTGGAACCACTTCAGCCGATATTCTAGCTCGCCTCAACACCATTTACGGTGACCTGACTGCCCCGACTTCATCTCAAGTCATAACAAGAGTCCCGACGCGTGGGCGCAAGGCCCGTAAGAACGTGAACGAAAAACGGGACGAATGTGATCCTCCGAAGAACTACAAAGAAGAAAATAAATCTACTGAGGGGAATACTCTTATCGATTGGGAGGAGATTTCGCCGCTTCCAGATGATGCCGACGACACTGACTAATGATGAAAATTAATGACGATTTTGAGAATCTCGAATAAAGTACTGAATTGTTCCTATGATTTAGTTTAACTTGTAGTCTATAACTTGGCTGTTCTTGGATATGTGTACTTTAAGGGCGCGGGGTTACCTATCTGCTTTGGTATGCCTTTAGTATCCCCGCCTAGAATGCATCCTCCCATCACACTCACCTGCTGGTATTCGAGAATGTTCTGTCGCTGGATGTGAGCCAGCTTGGGGTCAACGCTGCTGCTGGTGGCGAACTGGGAGTAGGTCTCCGCATTGTACGGGATGAGCACCATGGTCTGGTGGTAGTTCCTTAGAGGGGGCGGCGACTCCGGCCGCCTGGTGGGGCTCCGGGCAAAGTGGCTGCTGTAGCTGGCCGCGCTGTGCTTGCTCTGCTCGATGGCCGTGGCCGTCGCTGTCGCCGTCATACTCTGGCAATTCTGGCCCGCGGCTGCGGCAGCGGCGGCGTAGAGAAGCGATGCATCATCCGGCCCTCCTGAGCCGCCGGCAGCTGTGGCCGCGCCCTGCTGGATCATCGTCTGGCGGAACATGGTGCCGGCGGGAAGGGTCTGGTAGTAGGTCTGTTGTATGGCAGCCGCATCCATGGGGAACCGCTGCTGCTCGCCGGTCTCACTATAGAAACTCCACGTTCGCTGCTCCGTCTTTTGAAGGGCGGCAGCCATTTGCTGCTGCATCTGCTGTTGCTGCTGCATCTGCTGTTGCTGCTGCATCTGCTGTTGCTGCTGTTGTTGCATTTGCTGCTGCTGTTGTTGTGGTACGTTCTGCGGCGAGGGGTTTTGCTTGAGAGTGTTGGGCATGGCATAGGACTTGACGGCCTGTGGCACTGGCTGACTATTAACCACAGTGGCTGGAATGGCCGCCGTGAGCTGCTCCTGCATTTGGGCCAGAATCTCGTTGGTGGAGCTGAACTTGGGCTTGATCCCGCGTACCGATGGCCTCTTGTTGAACCCGTAGTCGTTTTGCTCATCGTCGTCGCTGCTGGCCTGGGACTGGGAGGGATCCGCGCCGGTGTATCGCTTCTTTAGCTGCTCCGTTCGCTTCGACTCCGCCTGGGCGAAGGCTGCCAGTTCGTCCTGCTCCGCCCGACCGGCCGCCTCTTGGCCCGGTGTTCCAGCAATTACGTCCGGTGCCACCTTGCGCACTTCCTCGCCGCCGGTTAAGGCGCCTCCGGATGCACCCAGTCCCTGGGCCAAACCCTGGGCAGCCATTGCGGCGGCATGTTGGGCCGCCGGATCTCCGGAGGCGGCTGCCGCAGCTGCTGCCCCCAAAAGCTGACTCATGTTAAAGTCCGCTGACGCGGCGGCGGCAGCATAGTGCGCGGCATGAGCATGAGCATGGGCGTGGCCATGGGCATGCGGGTGACCGGCAGCAGCAGCCGCCAGGGTATAGTACGAGGAGAGGTCGTCCTTGTTGCCGGCCACACAGGCGGTTAGCGGCGCCAAAGTGGAGGACAAGAATTGGCGCTTTTGCTCCGTCTGACGGGGCGGCGTGCGATGGATTTGCGTATGAACGACTGGCACCTGGATGCCCATGCCCAAGTCCGGAGCAGCCGGGCAACGGCACTCCTGAAAAGGAAAAAATCATAAAATCATCTGTATATTGTTCCTTTCCTCTGACCTACCTGTGGGATAATCACTATGGGATTCTCTTCCATTTCCATGATCTTTTCCTGCTTTTTCTCGCGATTGAATATGTCGGCTATCTTCTTGTAGGCCGACGATCCGCTCGAGGAGCTGGACACGGAGCTGCTCGGCGAGAAGCTCTTCTCGCCGTTCATAAACTTTTGTCCGGCGCCAGATCCTGGCACGGGGTTGGGATTCTCCTCACCGGCAGGACTATCCCTCTGAGCCAGCTCATCGGCAGCCCTTTCGCCGGCCTCGGCGTCTTCGTCCACCGCCCTTTGGAGTTCCTCGGCCAGATCCTCGTCTATGTCGCAGGTCAACTGTTTGATGCGTTCTTCTAAGGATATATCCGACTTGACGGCCTTTTTCCTGTGAGTCGATAAGAAAAAGTTTTAACACAGCCCTCTAATACAGGACTCCAGCCCTAGAGTCTCCTAGAGTTGGGATTTCAAAGGAATTCACGGTCTCACAGACACACGGTCAAGGTCACTTACTTGATCAACGATCGTCGCAATATATTCCTCTCCATGCTGCGACGAAGAGTATCCGAGTCCCCGCAGCTTCCCGGCAAATGGGTGACCAGGCACCCGGCCCGCTTGGACTCATCGAAGGCTCGGAGAGCCTCCGAGGTAAGAACCGGAGCCTGCTGGGCCGAAACGCTGGGGAACAGCTGGCGCACCGCAGAATTAGGACGCAGGGCATTGTTGAACAACGTGGAGTGCTTCTTGATCGGGATCAGCTCGTTGATTTGGTTCTCGCTGTCGTCCAGCTCACCGGCGAGGGATTGGGCATCACTATCGGTTCCGGCATTGGCCTGATCCTCGGTTACGAATCGCACGGAACGCTTTGTGGCTCCGCTCTCGTCCTCTGAGGTGGTGTTGTTCTGGTCATCAGATTGCTATATCAAGGAAAAACAATTTCATTTCAGGGTTTATTTATGAATGGAAGGTTAAGGAAAAAACTCTATTCCGCGCAGACATTTTTATTGTTAATTCTATTTTTTTATTTTTATTTTTAAACGTTAAATATGACTTGTCCCTCTATAATCTTAAAAATAATTAAAAAGAGGACTTATTTAGGATTTTAAATTATTTATAGCTAAAGATGAAATAAATTAAAGCATCTTTCTCGAAAGTTAAGAAGGTGGCAGCACCACTTCTTATCGAAGCTCGTCAGTGCGATAACCGATAGGTTCGATTTCAATGCTCTTTTCAATAACAAATGCGGTTCTTAGAACAAAAAGTTTTGTAAACACAATTGGAATGTAAAAAATTCACCTGTGAAATAGAGTCCTGCTTCCAAAGCTTGCCGCCCTTCAGGATGCCGCTGATTTGCGTGGGCGAGGTCTCCTTGGGCGGTATGGGGGGCGGTTTCTGGGCTTCGACCTGCGGCTCCGATCCTGAACCTGAACCGGAACCAGATCCCGATGAGGCTGCTACGGCGGCGGCAGCGGCAGCTGCTGTTGCACTTGCCTTGGCTGGGAGCGCCGGAGGCAGAACTTCCGACGCTCCACTGGCGGCGACTCCGGACTCAGAGGTGGTAGTGGCAACCCCACCTGGCACCGAACCGGCGGTAGTGACGTCCTCTTGCGCCTCCCGGATGATCCGACGCTCGGTCACTGTGGTCATAGTGGTAATAGTTTCAACAACAAATCGTTTATTCTTGGAGGAGCTACTGATGGCAGGGTCCTGGACAGGGTCCTGGCCGCGGCCTTGACTATTGGCTTGGACTTGGGCTTGGGCATGGGATAAGGCATAACCGGGCCTTGAGCTGGATCCGGAGCTTGCCCGGCTACTGCCCGAATCCTTTCTAGATTTCACCACTACAGAAAATAATTGCGGCATTGGTTGCAAAAAGAGCATTTATTTTTTTTGAAATTCTATGTCTATGGATCTGATACTGAGTTCTGATATTGCTTACTGATTGTTGATTTTCGATTATAGGTTTCTGATACTGGTTCTGATTTTGAGGTTGATTTCGAGTTCTGTGATTGAAAATGCTGAACCACGGATGAACGATTTTGAGGTAAAGGCGATTGAAATGGTTGAGAGCTATAGCTGCTTCTAGTTTAATTTTAGCATATATTTTATTAAGTATGGCAAGTAAGTAAGGCATATGTATAAAGCTTTTTGTAGTTTTTAGCTGAAGCCTGTTCTAAAAGCAGTCAAATTTCAAAAGAAATTTAAAGAATTTGTTTTCCAAAAATTAAAAAGGCAAAAAGTTATGTAATAGAGTTTTATTTCTTATTTTTTTTTATCCTATTTTTATGTCTCTTTCGCAGCAATTAAGTTTAAGGTTAAACCCCGTTCGAATATATTTATTTTACATTTCCTGATTAAAGTATCGCTTATGAAATGGCTGTGCACAAATGCATGAATCAAAAGCTAATGGTTGCGGCTGGTTTGAGATTGACTGGGCATTCGGGTATAGGGATATCGGGTGTGGAACTCGGATGACTTACCTCCTGTCGGCGATGGCTTGTACTGGGACTGCAGAACGTACTTGGGTCGCTCCTCCCCGGCGATGATCTCCTTCTGGGTGATGCGTCGCTCCGGGGAACTGGTGTGAATGGGCAAGAGGGCCACGGCTGGTACTCCAAGAGGCGTCATCTCCTCCGGGCACTGAGGGGAACTGCACTCTGTGGGGTGAGTATAAAAGAAGATTTCAACAAATATTCCCAAATTATTTTACTTAAAATTCAAAATGAAACTTCCTCAACTATTAACCCTTTTTTAGGGCTCGCAAATGGAAAACCTTGAGCCTCAACTGAGGGTTAAAAATCAAATGTATGTGAGTGTGTTTTTTTGTTATTTTTCATAATATCAACGTCGGAATGATGATTAATCGAAAGAAGAGAAGGGAAGGGGACTATGACTTCCGGCAAGCCTGTTGCTTGGCAGGTCAGAAGCGGAAGTGCGCTTGAAGGATCCGAATCGGAACCGGTATGGTCATAGCTTTTCGATTCGAGTTTATTTTTCATAGTTTTATGGGCTCGGGCATGGGCAGATATATTTTTGGGGGCTTGTCGCTCCCATTCGCGGTTCGTTAGGCGCAACAATTAACGAAGAATTCCCTCCCAAACATTCCCTTACAAACAGAGCCCGACTTTTTGCCCTTATGAAAGAATCAATAAAGCGTGACCACCACCATCGATATTAATGCAAATGCGGTGTGGGTAGGCGGGGCCTTTAACTGTTCGAGTATCCTTTCGGGGCTACAGCCCGAAAACCCAAAACGCTATCAGAAAACTCAAGTTGCCGTAAATCAATCAATAGAATCCACTTCTATGGGAATGCAGGGTGTTTTCGATACTGGACGAAAGGAAACCCTCGTGCCAAAAAAGGCAAAGGAAACTGTTAAAAGCGATTTGGCGTTCGATTTGTCGTCACCATGGAATTATTCCGAAATTATTTAAATACGAAACACCCACGGCTCCCAGCCAAATGACATTGGTTACATATTGATTTGTCATTCCTCGTGGAAATGTCACAGGATTACCAAAAGGCGTTTTGTTACCTGATAATTTATGAGGCTAAATCACGTTATAACTTCATAATGGGTAAATCATGAAAGGTCTTTGTTTATGGTAACTTGGCTGTGAAGTTCAAGTCCTGTTTTTAAATAATCTATTGATATTCCTAACATAATAATTTATATATTATATAATGTAAACAAAAATAATTTTTAAATAATATTTTCCGATTTAATTCGCAACTAGAAATGATTAGTTTTTAAAGAACTAAAACTTGCTTCTACTTCAGTGGTGCCCAAAACCGTATCCCATGGAAAACTCCCATGGGTTGGAAATTTCTCTGCCCGGCCTCTGCTTGAACACCGACACTTTTAACACTAAAACGACTGTAAATATCAGTTTGCTTACGGGAGAGTTCTACATATTTAAACATTCAATCACTTTCCACTTGGCTTTCCTTGAACCTCTTGTATCTTCTCCGAATTTCTTTAAAAATCGCTCCCATTAAAATAAGGACTCGCCATAAGAAAATGTTAAACAACTGTTTGAACGTCTGCGAACTCTGGCCAGTTACCTCTAGCCTCGTTTTTCACCAAATTAAATTAACTAGAAAATTACAAGAGGGCAGCAGCCAAGTGCAGCAAACTGCCGGGAAACAGGAAACGGAAAACAGGAAATCTGTATTAAAAATGGGGTCCAATTTAAAAGGACACAGAGGCAGTGAGGCTCCAGCCGAGCAGATTGTCAACGGCCGAGCGAATGTTTGCATAAATAATCCGCAATTTATAATTTATAATTCATAATTAGATTACACAAGGGCAAATGAAAGCGTTTACGAATGAAAAGAAAGCTTTGCCCGCCGCTCCTCGTCCTTTCCCGAAAGGATACCCGCTAATTGCATTGCGGCGTTCAGTTTGAGCAGTGTTGAGAACACAGAGAATAATCTATATAATGAGAGAGCTGGGGAGCTGATACTAGAAAACATACACTGCTATTGGGTTACTGAATCACAACTAAATCCCCTACTATTGTGGGCTTTAATTTTTTTTAAAGTGTAAGTTTCTTCATATTTCTAGTAATTTTAGTTTTTTTCAAAATGAATTGTTTAATAATTTAATAATTTAAATCGAGCCTGCGAATTTCTCCCTGTGCATCCCCCACTCACCTGCTTCCTGGAGCTGCTTGGCAGCACACTCGGCGCACTCAGCACACTCGGTGCAGACCCCCTGGATGTCCTCCTCCGTCGGCTGCTGCTGCATCGTCCCATGATGAGGTTGCTGCGCCTGTTGTTGCTGCTGCTGTTGCTGCTGCTGGGCACTGCCAACGGGCGGGGGCGGAGGAGGTATCTGTCCGCCGGCACTGTTGCGAGCGGCCAGCATCGCAGCCCGCTGCTGCTGCAACCGCTGAATAACCTGCAGCTGTTGCAGGTGTTGGGCCCCGAAGATGTGGCCGCTCAGAGCGCCGCCCAGCGTGTTCTTCAGACTGCTGTCCTTGTAGCCGTCGGGCGGACTAAGGGCGGCGTCGTCCACGAACTCAATCGGCGGCTGGTATTTGGGGCTCTGCGAGAAAATAAAAATATGGAAAAGAAGGCATTTTGGTAAGTATGTTAAGTGAGTTATGGTCGAGAGTGGGCGTTAATTAAGCTAATTAAGCTAATATATGAGGCCGGAAACCAGTGCTCAGGCTGATAAACTGGGCGCTATAAATCCCTCAAAACTTACTCCTTTTATTGTGTGGGAGGTGAGCTTCAAACAAAGGCTTAAATAACGTACCTTATTCGTATCTTCAATTAATCCTAATATATTTCAGGATATACACAGCACTAGTGCCAGGGTAACACATAGTTACCAACAGCAGGGCTGCATCAGTACTGCATAAAGTAGAATATCATTAAATTGAATTATACCTTTAGGTACCACTTATTATACTGTGAAGAAACTTGAAATCTCTCCTCTCTTATAGACTATATGCATTATTCTCTCTAGGATTGGAAAATCTTTAAGGTAAATTCAATAAATAGGATTATTATATTACAAGCAGGTACCATTTAGCAAAAAAACTCAACTTATATTCAAGTATAAAAACATCTATAACCAAGCCAAATCCACATTTCAGAAGCGGATGTCATTTTATGAACAAATGGTATAAAAAATCGTATGGTATGGTATTTCTATAAAATAAAACCCCTTCCTATAGACCATACATGTAAACCGCTACATGGTAATAGATATTCACTACTGGCCCAATACCCTGGATCGCCGCCCACAACCATATTAGCTTGGCTTTTTTCAACTCGGCTAAGCCACTCGTATTTCCGAGTGGAAAAGTTGCAAAAAGCAGCAAACAGAAAAATAAATTCAAAAGCACAAGAGCTATGCAGATGTTGCATGTAACAAGCGTGTATGTGTTGCTGCCAAAATCCTGTTTATTTGAAACTGTGGCAGGCTCCACACTTGTGTCTGTGTGTCCTGTCTAGACAAGGATCTTCCATTTCTAGTCCCTCGAAATTTCTTTATAATTTTCTTTACTTCCCGGTTACTTTTACGGGAAGCCTGTCATAATTCTGAGAGGGAAACTTTCGCATAACTACGCTGCATTCTGCTCTACGAGCCCAAGGATGTGGCTGAGGATACATATATCTAAGGATAGCTGGCCGTGTGTTATGCAATGCTCGGTAAACTTGTTACACACACTAAATGCATATTAAACTCTTCAGAGGGCACCCCATTGCACACCCCTGACTCAGAGGTTAAGGCTGGAGGGGTGGTGTCTTGGGGTGGAGGAGCGGCTGGGAGAGATGCTTGAGCAGGGCCAAGTCAAGTACATTGAGCGTCACCAGTGGCCGTCTAGGCACTGCGAGAAAATATACTAATTATTTAGTGTTTTGTGCTTAAAAAAAGGGTTAAATTTGTGTGTCTAATGGGAGGCGGGGAAATGGATGAATAATGGGTATTATACAACATTATATGGTATTGATGGGTATACAACATACGTTTTATGGTTAATGGCATGGTATTATTTCAGCATGTTTGTTTAACTAATTCTTTAAAAACTAACTTTATCTTTTCTGGCCAAAAAGGATTCAAATAGACAAGCGACGCCTAATATATGTAAATATATATTTTAAGGAACTTAAAAGGATAGTTCAGCAGTAACAGGTGTCATATAATTGTATGCATAATTTTGTATTTAAGCAACTACTTGATACCTAATCCAAAACTTTTACTTTGATTTCAAGATTCACAATTATTGCTGAAACACGATTGCTTTTCTGCCATAATGAAGACTTGAGAAACGAGAATTTTCCTCGGTGCTCTCTTGGCTGGGCACTCAGACAAGACCTGCCAGAACATCGGAGGTGGCTTCCAAGAAGATGTCGGAGGATATATAAGCACAAAAAGCGGCGAACTCAAGTGTCGCTTATGTGGCAGCAAATTGAAATTTAAACGCAGCTCGAGGGCCGCTCAGGATCGATACGAGTGGGTGATGCGATGATGATGGCGGGAGGTGGAAACAAGGAATCACGGAAGGATGGCAGGAAGGAAGTAAGGAGGAATGTCCGAATCAAGGCAAGACAACCCGGCTACACGCCGCATCACTGGCGGCAACTTTACTCGAATGTCCTTAACACATAAAATGCGCTCATCACGATAAAAACCAAGCGCACACACGGACAATTCATAAAACAATCTATCAGGGACGTCCAAGGAAAAGGGACCGTGTGCGTGGGTGGGTAGGTGTGTGGGAGTGTGGTTATTACAAAAGGGGGTCAGAATGACAACAATGTAGCTGTTGCAGTTTCAAGTTACTGGCACAAGAAAAGCATTTTGTGTGAAAGTTCTTAAGTGATTTATACACACTTGCCAATATCTATATGGGGAGAGAAAACTCGCTGCCATTATATCCTGTCTGGGCCGTACAATGGAACCACAGAACAGTTGTGTGTGTTCTCTGTATCTTTGTATCTCTGTATTTGCAGCTGCGAATGTATCTATATGTGGGTTTCTATCTGTATCTGTGTATGTGGGCGTCTGCGGCTTGACTCCTACTTGACTGCCACTTGGACGGGTAACGAGGGAATCGAGGCAAAAACGAGGACACCCAGCCAACTATGTCCTGCGTCCTGCGTCCTATACTGGGCCCTGGTTTTCTGGATCCTTACCCCCAGCATAGGATGTTTCCACAGCCGCTGTGCTTTTGTTTCGCAAATTCCACACACACTGATAACAAAAAGTTTGACAACGCTCGCAGTAATTAACATGAAAAGCGACAACGACGACACACAAATCGGCCAAATTGAAAAGGACGATAAACTTCATATTTCTAATTGGAAATATTGTGTGGCACAAGTTTGCCGACTTGCCTTCAGAAATAGTGAATTGTAAAGCAATTCAATTAAATCTACACATGATGCAAGATACACAAGTATGGAAGTAACTTTATTTTCTTTGCTTAAAGTGGGGTTTGAATATTTTTCACTTTAAAGATTCGAGGCTTAAAGTTTCTGAAGAAAAAATATTTCCATCTAAATGGTATAAAAATACTGAACAACTTTGGCTAAAACTGGACAACTTTTGCGGTTAGACGTTGTGTTGAAAAGTGAGTACTGGAGAGAATATAAATACATATGCATATCGACATCGGAACGTCATCGGGCCGTGGAAAAAGCTCCCGCAACTGCAGGTTGCATAAACCAATTTAAAGTTGCGACCTCCGGGTGAAATGGGATAGCGTCGAGCCAGGGCGCCTATCGAGAAGGCGCGTTTCAGGTTGCCCCTATTAGCCAAGGTAGAACGGGTCAGCCGGGCAGACAGCTAAGCGGCTTACACTCGAAATGAGTATCGAACTGGGTGATATTATGGCCCACAAAGAAATGCAATCCCGCCATCCAGTCAGCCAGGGAAAGACTATAAAAAGCAGATTCTTCGTTCTCAGTTATCTTCCGACATTTTCCGACCAGGAAAAGTCAACGGAATTAGCTTTGTGGTTAAAAGCCATTATCCTTATTCCATCCTTAATTATAGAAGGTATATTTTATAAAAAATAGATTTTGTTAGAAAAACGGTTACTTAAACAAGAAGTAACAAATACTTTCTTATAAAAAAAATATATTTTACAATTTAAATTGAAGGAAAAATCATTTTGAGAATCGTAGAAGTCCTCGAAATGCTTTGTGTTGTTTCTGAATCATATTTAGAGAGAATTGCAAATAAATAATTACTAGACATTTAATATAATATTATTTAAAATTTGTTTCCATCCCTTGAAATGTAATTAAAATTTAAAGTACCTACACCTATAGATCTCTTAATTTAACGACCCCTCCATACATATATTAGAAGTTTTTTAAAAACACGGAGGTGCAATCCTTAAGAAATCGACGCTAAAAAAACTAATATTATCAAAATAAATTTACTGGAAACTTTTACTGAAAATTTTAAGACTGTTTCCTGACAACTCTACCATTATTTTTTTATTTAAATGAAATGAAAAACATTATCTGTATATAAGTACTAACTAGATTAGTACTGGGTTAAGTACTGGATTAATAAAAAAAAATTCCAAAAGCTTTTTCTCATGATATTTACTAAAAACCCCATAGTAAACACCATTTCGGTTTAAAGAGAAGGATTTCAATCTGACGCATCAAGGGAACATTTCAAAGCCCAGCACCATAGAACCTCTTTTATAGGGCAACCCCTGGTCAGCCGATTCTGGACTCACCTGTGGCGTCCGGCCATCGCCGGCCTCGGCGGGATTGACGGCATAGTTGCACTGACAGCCCTCCTCGCAGCATAGACGCACCAGCTCGTGCTCCCCGCAGGTGCAGGGCTCCTCGTCCTCCTCGTCGTAGGCGCAGTCTTCCCGGATAAGGATAATGTAGTCCGCCTCGAAGAACTCGTTGCGAGTCTCGTCGAAGACGACGCGGTTCTTGCGGGCGGGCGGCGGCCGGTTCGGCTTCTTGAGAAGACCGCGCAGCTGACCGTTGACCTCGCGCATCTTGGACAGATAAACGGGATCGGCTAGTAAGGGATTCAAAGGTGGAGGCGAAAGTGGGGGAGGAGCTGCCAAGTCCAGGCCCTCTGTGGTCGTTGTTTGTGTCTGAGTGTGACAGTGATTGGCTGATGCTTGCTGTTGGTGGCTGCTGACCTGGCTGACTAGGCACTCATGATACTGGCAGGTGTCGCTGTCGCTATCGGTGTGTATCTCAAAGTCCTCCTCGTTGCCGTCGTTATCCTCGATATCCTGATAGTAGTCACAGTCCTGGTAGTATTGCTGTTCACTTACAAACTCGGCCAGTAGCTCGTCGTAGCATTGGAACTTTTGGCTATCCGCCGGATGAATACTATTCCATTGCAGCTGCCGGGCAGCCTTTAGATATTCGCGGAAGCGTTGCACATCGAATTCGCTAAGCGGCAGAGGTGCCTCCTCGAGTCCTGCGTAGCCGCTTTTGGCCACAAAGGCGCTCTTCACGGGCTCAGGATCGACGGGGATGGCTACGACGACGTGGTTGTCCTCACAATCCGTTTCGATTTCGATTACAACTTGGTCGCACTTTTCCTTAGCTTGTGCCTCTCGCTCGCCAGCACTCGCCTCTTCTCTCTCTGCTTCGCCAGTCCTTTCTCTCTCGCACCTGCGCAGTGGCGAATCCTTTTCCAAATTCAGCAAATGTGACAATTGTTCAGCTGTTCGTCTGCCTTCTAGCTTTTCATTATCATTTCCATTGCCGTTTCCATTTTCAGTTTCGTTTGGTATCCGATGTACTTGTGCATTTACATTTAATTGAATGGCACTGGAGCCTAGTGGGGCTGGTGTCCTCACTGGTGCTGTTGCAGGTCTTTCGGGTGTCTTATTGTCCTGGTTGGGTTGCAGGTACTTCCCCGTCCCTTGATGACTCGAAGCTAACTCTGGGGGTAGTTCCTTTGTTATGCTTATTGTTTGTTGCTGTTGTCCTGGTCTCAAGGATGCCTTTACACAATCGATGTTGTTGCTGCCACTGTTGTTGGTGGCCACGCGTCCCTGAAAATTGTATTGCAGGCGTTTCAACCTCTGACTTGCCACAAAGTCCTCACCCAAATCGCTCTCAAAATCAATGAGGTCCTGCTCGTTGCTGTTGTTGCTGCTACTGCTGTTGCTGGTTGCAATTTCAGTTCCTGTTGCAGGAGCAATGTCAATATTGCCAGACAGGGAATCAATGCAATCAATTAGCTTCTCTGGTTGAACCTGCTCTAATGATGTTGCTGCCAAAGGATGCTTGGACTGCTCGATGTTGTTGTTACTGTCATTGCATGTTGCTAGTTTCACGTAACCCAGCACAGCTGCCCCAACAACAACAGACTTGCTTTCAGTGACAGCAGCAACATCCCAGCAGCAGCTGGGAGGCTTCGAGGCTTTGGATTCCGATTCCGAGCCCGAATCCGATTCCGATTCCGCACCCGAATCTAAAGTCTGGGTGGTGCTACACGAGGTGACGCTGGTGGGGGTGGTGGTGGTGCTGCTGCTGCTATAGCTTTTCTGTGGCAATGACAATGGCGCCTGCCCCACCTCCGAGCTGGGTCCACTTTTTGTTTCTCGACTGAGGTATGACGGGCCTGCGATACTTGGCCCTTCGCCCAACGAATCACAATTAACTATTTGCACATTCTTTTCACTGCATGAGTGTAAAAAAAATTCGTCCAGCAATCCGTTGTCTGGCTGGGGTTTTTGCACACACAATTTTTCTGTACGTCGCGCAGCTTTTTCCCGACTTTCCACGGACTCTTCTGGCCAGATTTCCAGCTGGTCACTGTTCGTTGTCGTTGTTTCCTTGTGATTGCAAGGCTTTTCTTTTCGATTTTCACCGATTATAAAACTTCTTTGGAAATTTTGACCAGAATCCGTGGCTTGATTGCTGTTAAACGATTGATGTTGCTGGTGCTGGGTCTGGTGCTGCTGCTGTAGCTGCTGCCTCTGCTGCTCAGCTGCGACGACTGCTGCTGCTGCTGCTGCCACAAGGTTGGCTTTGAAAAGCTCGCTGCCAATTGTAGGTATTGAGCAGGCGCTGCTACCATTTCCATTGCTACTTGTGTTGTTGTTGTTGCTGCCCGTGTTGCTGTTGCTGCTGCCAGTTGTCACATTGGGTGGTTGCTGACCTGCGCCTGCGCTCACGCTCTGGTTTCGTCTTTGCTTTTCACGACTCTCACGCTCGAGTTGCGCGTACTCGCATTTCGTGGCCACTTCCGTTGCCGAGCTGCCTTTGTCGCCACTGTTGTTGCCATTGTTGTCACTGCCATTGTCAGTGTATTCAGCACGCGCACGCGCCGAGTGGCATGCCTCTATGACTCCCCCGCCTCCTGCTCCTCCCCCATCCTGCAACAACAAACATTGCTGGCGCGCCTCGGAATCAACAGCAACAGCGGTGGCAGCAACGGCCGCAACATTATCGCGTGAGCTGCGTGTCTCGCATTTAAAATGGCCGAAATCGCTCGGCTTCTGGCCTAGTCCACCGCCGCCTGTGTTGGCCAGCGTCGTTGCCGTCATTTTTCCCATTTGGCCAGAACCATCGATGAAGCCGCTTGTACTGCCAATGTTGCTCTTGCAATTTGCATGTATCATGTGCTCATTTGCCAATGCCAAAGTCAACATGTCAACAATTAGCATGATCGCCGGTAGTAGGCCATTAGATCAGCTCCACTGTGGGAAAATTATTGACTTTCTTTTAATTTTTATTTAGGCTCTGCTCAATTGCATTTGCAGTTTTTATTTGGATTTTATTGTTGAAAGGAAGGAGTTTTTGTTTTTTTATTTAAAGTTCTCCTCTAAGTAATTATTGGTTTGGTTATTTATTTGGAAGAAAGCCAATTGAAGAAATGGTTTCAATAAAGTCTTTTAAGTATTTTTCATTTAATAATTAAAAAAGAAAAAAATGTCTGTGTGTTATTTTTTGAACTTCATCTTTTTAGGCACAACACTTGAAATTTTATCTTTATTATAAGTCTTTTATCCGACTCAAACGCAATTTTTAGTTTTATACATTTTCTCTTGATGATTTTTTTTAAATTAATAAAAATCCGAGAAGTTCAATTCTAAAAGCTCTGTTTTGGGTCTCTGACTTTCAATTTTTTTTTTTAAATATCCGCACTTCTTTTTTGGAATATCCTCTTTCTCTTTATCCCTTATCGTGTATTTTCTTGTCAAGAATGCCTTCGCTATTAATCCACGATCCGTTGCCACTTGTGGGAGTCTCTGCCACCGGGTTTTCCCACCAACCCAACAGGTTTCCACCAACCCGCTCTCCACCAAGAGCTGACTTTTCCGCGCTTTGCATAAATTAAGATACTTTTTTCACACACTGTGAAAATATATCTCGTTATTGTCTCGAAGGCACTTGTCGCTGGAAACTCAGGAGGGGCGACAGGTGCGGACCGGTCGCGGGGCAGTCGAGCGCATCCTGTGGCCCAGGACTCACCACTCGCTCACACACACTTGCGCCCTTTTCAGGGGGTTGTTACGCGCCACTGATGTTGCACAATATCAACATCAACAACAACAATTAAAAAGTAAAGACAATATGCAAAAGAGGTTTTTTAACCACCGATAGCCAGAAACGCACGAGAACATAAACAAAACACAAAAAACACACGAAACACACGTGAAAAAAATATTATCAAGCCATTCAGTTAATCGTCGTGCCGGGTTTCTGGAGTGGCTGGTAGTTTTTACTAACACTCTTGGTCAGCTCAGGGCACGTCCGAACGCGTTTCGTGGCGGAAGTCGACTGAGCAAACTCAGACCAAACTCAAAACTGAAACTCAAGCCGCCGAGACTGTCTTTCTTCCCTTTTCTTTTCCTCTCCCCGCCGACAGTCTTCAGAGCGGTTTCTCGGCTTCGGGCTCGGCTTGGGGTTCGACCTCGGAATCGGAAATGTCCTCGGCCAGCTAAAGTGGTTGTGGCTTCAAAAAGTTGGTAAGAAAACTAATAATAAAGCTTGTCGGATATGCCTTTTGAATTGCTAAAATAGATAAAATTTATTTTAAAAAGTTGTTGGCTATTTTTACATTGCTTGACTCAAATTACAAGTACTATATACATACATATTTACTTTTAAAATTATTTCAATTTTCCAAGATTAGGACATAAGAACTTGAAAATTTTTTAATATCATTTTTCAGAATGTAGGAAAATGTTTTTTTTTAACGCATTACAGGTTTATATCTTTTTTAACTTATTCTTCTCCATCTTTATCCTGATGTAAGAAAATATTTCTGTAAACTCTTTTTTTTTGTATTAATTAATTTTTCTTTTTAATTATTTATTTCTTTTTAAACTTTTTAAATATATTCCCAAGTCAAAAGATTCTTATGCTGATTTTACAGTGTCAATGAAAAATATAATAAAATACATTTTTTTGAAGCTTGTAAAAAATAAAAAAAAAAAATTTATGATATATGCAAAGAAAGATTAGAAAGAATAACAATATTACAACTACTAATGTTGTTACTTTGTATTCATACTTCAGTATACATATGTAGGTATGTATTTCGTTAATACAATTGTGACTCAAAAAAATTTTTAAGTAATTTTAATGACGACCAAAGTCTGTAATTATCCCAAATCCAAAGCTTTTTTGGTTTATTTTTCTAGCATTTAAACATTATTCCCCACTGTACCTTACAGACACAGGCACACATGCGCAAAAACTCGGCAAAGTGACAAAGAAAGGCAGCGGAAGATGAAGAAGAAGAGAATGTGAAACAGAAGCAGAGACAGCAGAAAGCAGGAAGGCGGTGGGTTGCCAGGTAACAGTGCTTGTAAGCCGAGCGGGAAAGCCATGACTGAGGCAGCCGTCTTGGCCATTTTACCGCTAAAGGAAACTCTAGAAAGCTAAGAAGAAAATTATATATTTTATGAAAACTATAAATTTTTCTAAAACTAAAAAATTTGTGTATATGAATGTCCTTAATCCCACATTGTATTATTGTTATACGTATGTATGTAATCTGAACTATTTCCTTAACTATGTTTTGTGACTATTTATGATTAGTCTGTTTTAGACAGTATTCTTTATAAATTTACGTATGAAGAAGCACATTATTTGCACATTCTTTAGCTAAAAATTCAGGCCCTTGTGTATAAGGGTTGGGTTAAGGGTTAAAGTTCGAGCTAGAGCTCGCGTGCGCGTTCGAGAGCGAGTCATTATAATGACAGGTTTGAAAGAAAGGGATTCCACGTTGGTGACCACTTGGCCGTTCAGTTAAAAACAGAGGGCCCAAACCGGAGCCACAATGGCCATATCGTGGCCAGCACTTTGGGCTTATGTGTTCGTCGAGCTGATGAGTACGACTCGCTTCCAAACCGATTAGATAGACGTGCTTGATTCGCAGACATAAGAAGTTAAGATTGGGATGATCGTGTTCATAATGAAAGTGATTAGACATATTTGCTCACACACGGCACACACATAAATGTCACACCCAGGCGTAGAAAATACCGTGAGACGAAACAGTTGTCTCTCACATTGGCCTCCGATCTGGGCTAATCATCTCAATTGAGCCGTAAATACAGGGCGATTTATGGAACGAGTAAACAAACTTATTAAACTACTTTAAACAAAGCTAAGCTAATTATTAGAATTCAAAAACAACAATAATTAAAAAAATTAGGTTTAGGCCTATAATTAGATAGGAGTGGTAATACAAGTTTCTTCAAAGGTTCAGCTTGCATGGTTTTTTTTATAACCAATATAACCATAATCATAAACCAAAACTAAGAAATTGAATAATTTTAATACTTCATATATAGTATATATATATATATCATATATATTACAAAATTAACAGACGTTATTTATATTAATCTTCTATTTTTTAAGATGTTATCAATTAAAAATAAAACGTCTTCCTTCTATTTTATTTCAAGTTCATAACGTTAATAATCACTTGCATTATCCAAATAATATAATTGGCGTTATGTTTTATGTTTTACCCATTGTTTATATGTAGATGCATTGTAGTCATACTTGGTTTATAATTCAAAGAGATATATTGCTTCCCATTTCTAATGTCAATTTTTTCAGATATCTGCAAAAGATGCCACTTTCCTGCCACTTGCTGCAGAAACTAAGTTGCAACACAATCGGTCATCAAGAGATCAAATGGATCTCGCACCAGGGGATCTGGTTTTACTATCTACATATGTAAAATACCTACTGCACAGTGGACACAGAGTACATAGGGCACTTGCTGTGAGTGCAGACGTGTGGGTACATATATAGAAGATCCACGTACTGTTGTACTAACCCCACATAAAACAGACTCATTACCGCGAGAAGACGATCCGATGGTGATGACGATGACAGCATAAGGCAGGGGGGGGGCTGTCTTTTTTTATATATATTTTTTTTGTACTCCGGCAAAACTTATTACTAAGTAGGAACAGATCGCAAGCAAACTGAATGAATGGAAAATTGTGGGAACAATGGAGCCGAGCGTGAGAAGTTGCCACCGCCGACGCGTCAGTCTTTAATTTCTTCTTAAACCAAACCCCCAAAGCTTCTCCGGCGGTGGTGCTCTACGGCGTGGAAGTGGTGGTGGTGCTGATGATGGTACTGGTGGCACTTCAGACATGGAACTCCAGATCCGAGGCTGTTTAGCACACAATGCCGCCATTAAGGGTCGCAGTTGTCTTTAGTCTCCCAGGCTATATCTGCGAACACACTCATGTATACATTGGTACATATGTAGGTATATATTTAAGTATTATTATTTACCATGGTCGAAGCATACATACACATAGATTTATGCATATTTAGATATTAATATACACTTCAAAATAAAAAAAAAGATTATTTATGATTGAGGTATTGACTCCGGTATTGATATCTGAATTATTCAATATTTGAATCGTTTTTTTTAGACCGTGTAAGATTTTCGTGAGCCCTACGAATATGCGCACAATTCCCCGAAGAGCTGAGCGTATGTGCGAAAAAATGTTCCCCCAAACCCCATACCTGATAATGTGGTATTACAGGTCCCTCATTAATATTTCAGGAGTTCAAGGCGAACGATTTGACGAGTCGGCTCGGTTCTTTCCGGGCTTTATGTGCGTGACTCGGCATTATAAGTGGGTGCTTCTGTCCCCATAGTGGGCTTTCCTGGGGCGTCGGGGGCCAGGGTCTGTGTCTAACCAGCGGGAAAATCATAGCTTCAATGCGACTGACTAGGCAATTACCGACTGCACTCTCCAAAGACTGTCGGGTCCCTTAAAATTCTGTAGAAAGAAGATGTCAGTTGGGAAAATATTCTTCCGAGGGTTGAATGGGCCCACGGGAAATTTTACACGGATGGGTGATTTATATGGGTTTGAGCTTTACTGTTTAGCTCCTCAGACTTTTTTTGAAACTGAAACTTTTGCATAGCCTTAACTTTTAAAACTACTCTAGAAATATAGACCAATCCCCGCGAACATAAACCATTTCCGAAACACGGGTCAAAAACTGGAAATTCGCCGAACCTGCTCACTTTTGGCGCACTTCAAAGCGTCTTCATGAAAATGTAGGCTTAAACGAAACGAGATCATTAAGCCAGTTCCCCTTAAATGGAGACCATAAAAATGTTAGCTGGCTTAAAAAAAAATTTTTTTAAAACAACAAAAATTCAGTTGTAAGAATTGTCATTAGAAGGAAATCACTTACAACGCTTCCGAAAAATCACCATGTTCACTTGGACACTGGAAAAATTTTATCAAAAGGGTAACGCAAATGAAAAACCTTTATAGTTTTATAGAAATAAATTTGTTAATAATAACCATGAAATACCCAATTTAAAACCTTTAAAAATATATATATTATTATTATTTTGAACAAGTTAATTTAGATCTTTAGATCTTTATATCTATTACAATTTAATATAAACAGAAATAAATACATTTATATAAATTAAAAAGCTTGGTAACACTTTACATTAAGTGGAATAAACTAGTCACATGTAACTAATAGTATTTTTAATCATGGGAATATACTTTCCATGAAAATGATTTTTTTTTTTTTTTTTTTTTTTTTTTTTCGCGGTCTTTCAGAATTTGGAAATGGCTTGTGCATCAATAAGAGCATCAGCTAGCATTCCTGTATTCATCATAAAGCTTAGAGGCCCAGACGACCGAGGGGCGCTCAAGAAACGATTTGTTAGAGTATATTAAGTTATTTGTTAATTATTAAGCTAAGAGGAGTTAGTAAGGAAATTTAAAATTCTATATTTTAAATTAGAGGGACAGGAAAGAGATGTAATAGAGTAGAGACCATTGTAGTTCGAACATAATACCCTAAAAGGGTCATGCAGTGCATATGTCGAACTACAACGGCTAAGGAACAGAGGACTAAAGTTTCGAGTCCTTCTATTAGGAATGTTGAAATTTAAGCGTGTTAGTAAATGCTGGCTATCTACATCCCCGTTGATAAGGTTTTGCAGAAAAACTACACCGAGCATTGTCCTACGATTTGTTAAGCTAGGTAAGTTAATAAGTAAAAGTCTGCTACTGTAGGATGGAAGCTGAAGATTTGCATCCCAGTATAGCCCTCTAAGTGCAAATATTAAAAGTTCTTTTGTACGGATTCTATGCGGTCCTTATGTACTCCATATTGGGGACTCCAGACACATGAACCGTACTCTAGTATCGGACGGACCAAAGAAATGAATAAAGTTTTGGTTATATAGGGGTCATTAAATTCTTTTGACCACCTTTTAATAAAACCAAGGACTCCTTTAGCCTTATTAACCATTAAGGA